CCTGTAATTCTGGCTACTTGGAAGGCTGAGGCGGAAGGATCGCCAGAGCCCAGCAGGTAAAGGCTGCGGTGGCCGGAAGCAACCACTGCACTCCAGTCTGGGCGACAGAGTGGGACTCCAACACACACACACAAAAGAAAACAAATAGAAAATGGCAGACAAAAGTCCCAGCTCCTCAGTAATTGTATTAAGTGTAAATTAAACACTAATCAATTTAGTGAACTAAACACTCCAATAAAAAGGCAGAGAACTGTAGAATGGACAAAAACATGATTCAACTATACGCTGCCTGCAAAAGATAGTCTTTAGGTTCAAATACACAAATAGGTTGAACATAAAAGAATTGCAAAAGATACAGCAAGCAAACAGTAAACAAAAGAGAGCTGGAGTAGCTATACTATTAGACAAAATAAACTTTAAAACTAAAAGTGTTACTAGAGACAAAAAAGAATATTTTTTCATAATAAAAGGATCAATCTATCAGGAATGCAAATAAAAGAATCAATTCAGCAAGAACATAACAAGTATTAACATGTATTACCTAACAAAAGAGCTCCAAAATACATGAAACAAAAATTGAAAAACTGAAGGGAGAAAAATAAACAATTCAACAATAATAGTTGGAGATTTCAATAACCCAATTTCAATAATGGATAGAATCAATAGATTATCAACAAGAAAATAGAAGATTTGAAAAATGCTCCAAACCAACTAGACCTAACAGGCATCTGTGGAGTACCCCACCACAAACAACATTATATACATTCTTCTCAAGTGCACATGAAATACTCTCCAGGAAAGATGATAGGTTAGGCCATATAACAAGCATCAATAAATGTCAAAGGATCAAAATAATACAAAGTCTGTTCTCCAACAAATAGAATAAAATTAAAAATCAATAACAGAAGGAAACTTGGAAAATTCTCAGATATTTGGAAGTTGAAAAACACACTTCTAAACAATCAACTAGTCAAAGAAGAAATCATGAAGGAAGTTAGAAAAAACCTTGAGATGAAATAAAATGAAAACAAAACATACTAAATCTTATGAAACACAACTAAAACTGTACTTAGAGTGAATTTTTAAAATATAGTATAGCCGGGCTCGGTGGCTCAGCCTGTAATCCTGTGCCTTGGGAGGCTGAGGTGAGTGGATTGCCTGAGCCCATGGGTTCGAGACCTGCCTGGGCAACTTGGCGAGACCTCATCTCTACAATAAATCAAAAATTAGCTGGGTGTGGTAGCACGCGCCTGTAGTTCCAGCTACTTAGAAGGCTGAGGTGGAAGGATCGCTGGAGCCCAGCAGGTCGAGGCTGCGGGGGCCAGGAGCAGCCACTGCACTCCAGTCTGGGCGACGGAGTGAGACTCCAACTCAAAAAAACACAACAAAACAAAAAGCAGAGAACGCTGATTGGAGACGCTCCTTTCCTTGGACTCTGAGCGCCCTGGCGGGACAGCCTCGCTCCGCTGTCCCCGCCTCTGTCCCTCCAGGCCCTCCGCGGAGCGGCCTTGCCTGAGCCCTTGCTCACAGTGGGTGCCCCTGCCCCCCCCAGATGGGGTGCTGCTCCCTCCATTGGCCTGTGGGACTCGGGCCTGGCCTGGGAGCCTGCCGCCTCGTTCCCTTGTGGGGTGACTTTGGGGGTTCTCGGGGCTCCGGGAGGGCGAAGCCTCGGGCTGTCTCCTCTGGGGCCAGGTTGCCACAGACACAGGCCCGTTTCCCAGAACAGGCAGAGTCAGGCCAAGGACGAGAAGGTCAGTGCTGGGCAGCCCCTTCGGGTCCCCTCCTGCTGTGGGAGCTTTCCTATTCTCTCACTAAATCCTGCTTTCAAAAAAAAAAAAGGTCAGTGCCTACTTTGCCCTTGGCGTTTGAGGTGGTGAGTACTGCGGAGAAAGAAAGTCAGTCGGGCGGAGAAGGAGAACGGGGAACACCCAGGACCTGGGAATGGCCGTCTGAGAAGGTGACATGTGGGCTAAGACCTGGGGGAGGGGCCCTGTGGAGGCCGGGGAGAGTGTTGCAGGCAGCGGCACCATCTGTGCAAAGGCCCCGTGGCAGGAGCGCTCAGGTGTGTTCAAGGAAGGGCGAAGAGGCTGGTATGGCTGCGGTGATCCCGTGAGGCAGATGGAGCGATGGGGGGAGGCGAGCGGGATGTGGAGCGGGAGGAGGGGCTCTGGCCCCTGCGTCCGGCTGTGAGGGAGGGCCGGGCAGCAGGCCCCGGGTCAGGGGTGGGCACAGCCGTCCTGCCCTGTTGGCCGAGGCCTTCGCTGACACAGAGCTGCAGCTTTCCCCGGTACTCACGGCCTGGGACATGGACTCATGACTGGGTGGCTGTCCCAGGGGCTGGGACGGGGGTGGAGGACGCGGCAGAGAACGTCCTTAGGGAGGGTGAGAGACACTTCCCCCAGCCCAGCGAGGGCCAGACTCACCAAATGTGGCCCCGAGTGGGGGACTCAGCAGGCACAGTGCCGGGCCAGGTCGATGCATGCCCGGAAGTCGTCCTGGGGAGGCGGCAAGGATGCTGGGATGGGCCCGGTGAGTGGTGGGTTGTGGGGCTCGGCTCAGCTTGGTGCCCTGGCAGGTGGGGTGGGTGCCGGCTTCGTCACCAGTACCTCGGGACCTGGGACCCATCCCAAGGGCGGCAGAGTGCCTTCTGGGCTCCCCTCTCCCCTGGCAAACCCTGCCACCCGTCTCCGTGGCTTCCCAGGGGACCCCTCCTGGGGCCCTCAGCCCTGGGGCTGGCCCTGCCCCCCTCAGACTTCATCTCCCTCGGACTTTCCTGATTCCTGCCACGCCGGTGTCCACTCTGGTCCTCAAACATCCCTGGCCCTGCCCCAGGGCCTTTGCACCAGTGGTGCTGGGATGGACTTGCCCTGCTCCCAGCCCTGGGTCCCATCACTTTGCCTGCACAGCCCCTCGAGGCCCTGTTCCCATCCGGCTCTGTCCTGGGCTCATTTGTGCACACAGAGGGCGTCTCCCACCCCAGAGAACTGTGGACCTTGGGAGTGGCTCCTGGTGGCTTTTGTGCATCGCGGTCCCCAGAGCCAGAGGAGTGGCTGGATGTGGCGCGCACCGTGTCCATCGGCCGCCTGCATAGATGAAGGAGGGAAGAAGGGAGGGAAGGAAGGAGTGAAGAAAGCAGTGAGTGAAGGAAGGGGGGAAGGAGCGAAAGTCTGCCCGGACCCGCCGCGGACACGTGGCGT